GCGCAATTTCCTCACTGAGGTTAATGCCCTCCAACTGGCGTGTCTTTCTTAAGTTCAGTATCATTTAATTAAGAGAACGTGTTATCTGGGATTGATCTGATTGTAATCCAGGGCAAAAACTTCAATTTGCCACTTGCCTTATAAAGTCTGTTTCGTCCTCCCTTCGTTTCTTCTCGTCTTCAGGAATTGCTTTCCATGTGAAAAATAAGTCCCAAGAAAAGCCTCCACGCTCATAAATCACATCAGAAGTTTGATAGCCAAAGTCATCGGCATTGATCACCTCTATGACAGGACAGACAACATTTGAACGATTCTGAGCGATCCTCGCCAGCATTGGTTCCAGCCATCCTTCAGTCGCTTCACAGTGAGAGTCCAGAAAAGTCAGAACTTCTCCCCGGGACACCTCGGCTCCGCGAAGCCGTGCTCGCACCAGACCTTCCCTCTGCGGCATTCGCAAAACTTTGACTTTTTCAAATTGGCTGACTTGTTCTTCCAGGGGCTTCTTGAGATTTTCTGTTTGATTCAGTGATAATAATACTTTGGTGGTCAAAATGATTTGCTGAATTTTTGCATTCAGACATTAATACGTGGTGAATGCGGTTGGGGAAAATAATTTAAACGGGCTACACCATCGATTGCATGTCTTGGAGAAGATCAGCCTGAATGTTTCAAGTTTGCCGATCATAATTTGTTTCAGTTTTCCCCAGTCTTTAACCATTCTTTTTTCATTTTGGTTTTTGTTACTTCTTTGAGATTTCCTTGCTGACTATTTTCAAAAGTGTACTTTGAATTTTCTTTCTGGCGATGCAAAACAATTTCGCGCATAGCCAAACAAGATATCTGGCATAATATCATGGACAACAAACGACTCCTTAATTTTGGCGCGAAATTTCAGCATCAATTTATAATTTCACATGTGAAAATACAAAATTGCTCTAGCACCTTTTGATGCGAAATTTCTCGATACAATAAACAAGTCGAAAACCCACGATTATCAGCGTAATTTGCTACACATGATATTAAAAGGAAAATCAGACGGTATCATACTTGTGAAATTAAAAAATAATTTCACTCGTCACCATTTGAGCACCCCTACTAATACAACTCCTTGAATACGACCTTCTGTGAGGTCTATTTAAAAAGTTTAGCTCTAAACAGAGGTCATAAGACAGGCTCTCCAAGCTCACCGTATTCGCTGAAGTCATCCACGAGAATTATGTCTGCCAAAAGATGTGGAGGTGAACGATTTAGGACACTGTGCACCGTCCTTAATAAAACTGACAGAGCTTCATTGTGGAAACAGATGATCACACTTGTGGTGGGTAGCTTAGTTGGGTATTTCTTGTGCTTCTGACGACATCTAAAATGACAAAGGATATATAATTTTTCACAGCCTAGGGTAATGCTATCTTACGCAAAAAGACAAAAATGAAGAAATGCTACTACAATACTAAACTGTATCGAAATATAATGGTTCATAATTAATCTAATCTCCTGCAAAACTTCAGCCAAAACTGTTTTGGGTTTGAACGGATGGCGCCAATAAAACTCGGATTTCTCTCACAAAACCCCTCCGGTAACCTCGTATTTATAAATTATGCGTAGATATTAGGAGGGGCCGTTTTGATCAGGGAATGCTGCTCTGCGTGAAAAAAAGAAAATGATCACTTCCTAAAGAAACCGTTTCTCCTCGTGGGTGGGAAAGTAATAGCAATTAATTATCATTTTGAAGTCGATAAAGGCAAATTAACCGCCTTAGACAATTGGTCAGTTGGGAAACTCGAAACCGCGGGGGCTAATTTACCTTTATCAACTGCAAGCTGATAATTTTTTTAATTGAAATTAATATAAAGCAATTTTTAGAAATGTCTTTTAGCATAAAAAATATTTAAGATGAGAACTGTAAATTAAACCAAAAGATTTACGTCCAACCTACTTTGGTCCCCGATAATCCCTCAGACTTCTATCTAGAGACATATGATCGCTAAGAATCACATTAAATGAATGATTATCAAACACATGTTCTGCTTCATCCTTGAACCGAGGCGGTAAAGCCGCCGGTTCGCCGTCATCTCCCAACCCTTGAATGACTTCAGTAAAGTACGGCCTGACTTTGGAGCTGGTCCACTTCCGTTGCTTGGCTCCGTCGCGCGACCGCTTTACGTGTGCACTTCCGGTTGCGTCTAACGGTACAAACGAGTCTGTATCGAAGAAATTCATCTGACTGTTCATGGAGGATAAAACGTAAAGGATGTCAACAGCGAGCCAGAATAGAGAGGTGAGGATGAAAACCTTTACAAACAGTCTTCGATTTCTCATAATTGCTGGTAACTTGTAGCTGATCTCAAAGATTTCTGTAGCGTGCACCAAACAGTCCAGGCGTTACTCTAGAAAATTGTTCGCCTTTAAATGTCGATCTCATCCAGACACCTTCCAATAATCTGCTTAACTAGAACTCCAATGAAAACCAATCGCAGAAAAATCCGCTTTTGGAACCATGACTGCTTTCAAAAGATGAAAGAACCTTACGGACGAAGAAGAAGTCGCTTAATAAAATATTTATCACCGCAGGTTATTTACGTTCGAACCTTTATCTCCACTGAGAGGTGATAACACCGGTACCTGCTTGCTTTGGCATTCTGGGAAAGTCGAGTAAAATGTCAATCAAAGAAATCCCTTGCCTGTGTAGCGTTCTTCAGTAGTAGCAAGAGATTATCAAGGTAAGAGAGTGAATCCCCCATATAGACCCTCTAACTAAGGTAATCCCTCTTAAGCAAGAGATTACTCTCTTGGTAATAGTTAGTTTTCCACATTTTGGTCGCGGGAAATTGGGGCGAGGGCACTCGCCTCGTGTGCGCCCAAAGTCACTGTTTCTCTTTTTCCTTTCTCGCATTATAAAACCGCGAGCCACTAAAATAGTGGGCATCTCGAGGTTTGCCAGTAACACGCCTAAGCGATTAATATAATAACAATAAACTGAAATCACGGGGAAAAAGAGGCGGCATCAATTCAAAATGTGGGGATGTTTGATTTGATGTCAAGAAATTATGTTGATGTTTAATATCTGTTAATTGTTTAGGACAGATACTGAGTGTTGAAAACTGACTAAAGTCGTGATTACTTTGTCGATACAAGAGAATATGGTCGACATTGTTAGCCTACTCAAAGAAAACATGTAGCGATTATAAAAGTATTCTTGCTACTAGTTTTAGCATCGTTTTAACAAAGGATGACCTAAAAAAGTGATTATTTTGAGCAGCAGATAAATGCACGTAAAGGGTTATCAAGTCTTTATAGGAGCATAACTAAAATATGAAACAACACATCCCTTGGTATTACACTCGGTTTATTATTGAATAATATCGTTAAAATGGAACATTTACGGGCCCAAAATTAATGGCGAAGGCCCGAATTTACGTAAGATTAGTGACATTTGGACTTGCAACTAAAAAATACATCTGACATGAAATAAAAACTAAAGGTAACAATTAACAGTGAACTAGAAATTCGTTCAGGCGAATAAAGCTTTGCCGGTTTACAAACTGACCAGGAACGTCCACGGGTTTGTAATATTTTTGTACCTTAGGCCCCGTTAACACTATACGCCAGAGGATTTTGAAAACGGAGGTTTCACTCTGAAAATGCACCAAATGTTTTCTGTCCACACTACGCCTGAGGAGTAAAACACGTAACAATCACCAGTCATTTTGGATTTGTGTTTCAGGAAACCTCGGTCGGGGAAATCACATGATTATCCTAACGCCATCATTTTCGAAAAGTTTCGTTTTCAAAATATGTTTTCCGTCCACACGAAAACGAAAAAAGCCAGTGTTTTTTAAATTCCTCCGGTTTGGAGAGCGTTTTCGAAAAGCTCCGTTTTCATGACGGATTAGTGTGGAAGACAGGACTAACCGTAGAAATAAAGCTGCGTTTTCAAATTTCTCCGGCGTACATGTTGTGTGGACGCTGTCTTAATTTTTCAGCCTTTCACGGGTAATTATCAAGCTCACTAGGTCTTTAATTCTTGTGGATTTCACTTTATAATTCAGTTAACGTGACCGCATGTTTCAAGAGAGTTTGTCAGCAAACGCTGCGAAACCAGAGAAAATTTTTAGGAAATTTACTACCAGAAAAATATTTTAGGAAAACGTAAAATTCACTGATTTGAGAGAAAAGTTATTCTGCTTCTTCTTCTTCTTCCTCATCATCAAATTCTTCTTCGTCGACAGTAGCGTCCTGGTATTGCTGGTATTCAGACACTAAGTCGTTCATGTTAGACTCGGCCTGTTGATAGAAAAATTAAAAAAGAAATCAATCACACAAGAAACGTTTCAGTTTTCAAAATGGTGTTTAGAGACATGAATAACCGGCCAAGACCACAGATTACTGAGGCTCCATTAGGAGGGAGGGGGGGAGGGCCCTGAGTATCCCACATCCCGTTAACCTTTGGCCAACTATCCCGTATCTCGTTAACTCCAGTTGAAAAAATTAACGATCTTCCAACTCTACATCCCGTTTTGTCTGATCTAAACATCCCGTATCCCCTTAATCCCCCCCCCCCAATATCCCATTAATTTCTTCCCCCAAGTATCCCGTGTCCCGTTAATTTTTTCCTAAATATCCCGTATCCCGTAAACCCCAAGTATGGCCGCATTACATGAAAGTGGCACAAGAGTCTCCATGACCCAATGCAGCTAGGAGAGAGTTTCAAAGAATACGAAAGTGTATAAGTCCGACCCACAAGTTAGAATTCACTTTTTAAAGTTCTTCCCAAAGCTCCCAGCCTTTTTCAAGTAGTGTTTGTTTGCAGCAAGTTTCAAGTAGTGTTTGCATCAAAAGAAAACCGAGAAGTGTTTTTTTTTTCATTTCGTTTACAAAAAGCTAACAAAATGCAACGTTACATCATAACCTTTCAAACAAAATAACCCACAACCAATCAGGGTGCATGTTATGACTAAAATTTGAAAACTACTTTTTTTATTATTTTTCACCTCAGTAAATTCCATCTCATCCATCCCTTCGCCAGTGTACCAATGCAGGAAGGCTTTACGTTTAAACATGGCCGTGAACTGCTCACTAATCCTTTTGAATAGTTCTTGAATACTTGTGCTGTTTCCAATGAAAGTCGCAGACATTTTGAGCCCGCGCGGAGGTATGTCGCACGCAGCGGTCTTCACGTTGTTTGGAATCCATTCCACAAAATACGTGCTGAAAAATACGGAATGTGAAGGATACACGGTTTAGAGGCGCGCCTATTTATTATCAGTTATCTCTTTGAAGTTTAGAAAAGTCTAAATAAACCATCATAAATCTGAAGTACGGGAACGCTGCATAATCATTTAGGAATTTTTGATGGGGATGTAAAATAGAAAAGTGAATATTTATGATAGCAATTTGAAGTAAATGAACACAAAAACGGACAGCTATTAATTCAAATTAAGAGAACCCTATTTTACGCCAACTTTCATTCTATTCCGTATATACCATAAGATTCTGAGCAGCTATAATCCCCTTCTCAAACTCATTAATAATTCATGAAGTTTAAACACAGTAAATCATGGCTCTGACAGTGTTTGGATATCTGATCTTAATTAGTATCGATTTTTACGATTTTTTTTCTCCGTTTTCTCCTTATGTTTAGTTTTGATTGAGAACATATATCAAAGACTCAAGGCAGTGTATGGACACATTTCCAAACACTTCGAAGTTCACCAAAAGTTCTCTGCTACGCGTCGTATTTTCAACTCTCTTGGTTTTTGGAAATCTGGTCAAACACGGTCTTTCGTGTTTGATATTGATCAATAACGGGAGCCCATCTGTCAGTTATTAATCAGTTCAAATCTTTAAAGCCGCATATACCTGTTTTTATTCTGAACATTCATCATCTGCTCGTCGACTTCCTTCATGGACATTTTTCCGCGGAACATGGCGGCCACTGTGAGGTATCTGCCGTGCCGCGGATCACACGCCGCCATCATGTTCTTGTTATCGAACATTTGTTGAGTTAACTCGGACACAGTCATCGCACGGTACAGCTGGTTGTCGCGGCTCGTTAACGGCGCGAAGCCTGGGATGAAGAAGTGTAGGCGAGGGAATGGGACCATGTTCACTGCCAGCTTCCTGAGATCTGCGTTCAACTGCGGAGATTAGAAAAAAGTAAGTTCTGTCAAAATCCTTGCAAAAGAGAAGGACAAAGCTCTATCACTGACACTGAATTCGAAATAAAACTACGTTCCAAACTATAGAAGATCTCTTACTTGTCCCGGGAAGCGGAGACAAGTCGTTACTCCGCTCATTGTAGCAGACAGCAGATGATTCAAATCCCCGTATGTGGGCGTGGTCAGCTTGAGTGTCCGGAAGCAGATGTCGTACAGAGCCTCGTTATCGATGCAGAATGTCTCGTCCGTGTTCTCCACCAATTGGTGAACTGATAAGGTGGCGTTGTATGGTTCTACAACGGTGTCTGACACCTGTACG